CAGCTTCCATTTTTTCACAATCCTTACTGGTCTCTCCTATTGCTACCAACTATTCTCCTAGAAAAGTTGATCTTGACCTAGCTTTAGGTGCTTTTAGTCTATATTTTATTAGTATATACTTTCTTAGCATATGTTCTTTTCCTCTAACTAGTATTTCCTGGCTGTTCTTGGCCTATGTTTTCCCAAAGGGCATAGCTTCTGACTTTTAACTCCTAGTCCAGGGCCAGGAAGAGTAGGGTATCCAACTTACCAGTTTTCTATGCAGATAAGTCAGAGTAATCTTTTATAAAATAGTTTTACCAAACTTTGCCAGGCCCTTTATTTATAAAAGAATAGTTACAATAATTGTTATACACTATCTCTATTACAGTAGCTTATATCCAATCTTGTTAAACCAAACTCTAACTTCTATATTTTTTTATATTAACCTACTAACTGTGCTTTTTTTGTATTTTTTAAGATTGTTTCAGGGCAGTACATTTAGGCAATCTATTTTTAGCAATATGGTTCTAAAATTTTAAAATTTAGAGCAGTTAAATTTATACTAGAATTCCCAAAACTTGAGAGTTCTCTAAGAGTAGCTCCAATTGCATAATGATAATTTTTTTGAGAAAGTCTTGTTATTTTTTGATTCATTTTTTTTGAATTTAGCCTTTAACTTCTTTTATATGTTTAGATTTGGTTTTTTTAATAGCTTTTATTAATTTTTTTTAAGAATATTGACAAAAGAAAGATTTAATTTTTAATAAAAATAACTATTTGGGGGCTTTGCCTTAAAAATCAAGTTATGGAACATATGATTTACTATGTCTCATAACGTGATTTTCAAGGCAAAGACCCCATTTAATACATTTAATTTATTTAAATTTATATAGAAAGTGATAGAAAAAAGCCCAATATAGCCTCTTTTTTACTCTCACCCTCTTTACTTCCTATTCTCTACTTTTTACTCCCTTTACTTTGACCCTCTCTACCTCCTCTTTTTTACCCTCACCTTCTCTATCCTTTTACTTCCTTCTATTCTCTTATTTTGAATTTTATATAATGATATTGAATGGCACAGCAGCTAACAGTTGTAATAGTTATGTGCTTGTATTATATAATAGCCTAAGTGGCACAGTAACCAATAATTATATAATAGTTAATATATGCAGTAACTAACGGTTATATAATAGTTGTAATAGTTATATACTTGTCAAAGTTATATAATGGCCTTGAGTAATAGTTATATGCTTGTTATGATTATATAATAGCTTTGGATAATACAGTAACCAATAGTTATATATATAATGATTGTATAGTTATTGTTAAAGTTATATAATAGCTCTGAATAGTGTAGTTACTAACAGATATATAATAGTTGTAATAGTTATATGCTTGTCAAAATCACAAAGGCTCAGATAATACAATGACCAATAGTTATATTATGGCTATAAAGATTATATACTTGTCAAGATTACACATAATGGCTTTTGTTAATGTAGTAACTAATAGATATATAATAGTTGTAATGATTATATACTTGTCAAAGTCATATATACTGGTCAAAATTTTTTAATATTATAGGATGATATAAGGGTGATATGTATTAAAACATATATTATAAAATTGGGTATAAGATAATTGAATAATTAATAATATCTGTATAATATCTGTCAAATATTTATAAGCCGATAGAGATAATATCTTAAAATTTTGTCAAAAAAAGAAAATATAATTATGAATAATATAATCATCACTATATCTATCTAATATCTATTTTGTATCTTTAGAATAATAGTTATATCTGTTAAATATCTGTTGGCTGATAGAGATAATATCTTAAAATTTTGTCAAAAAAAGAAAATATTATTATGAATAATATAATCATCGCAATATCTGTTTTATATTTTTAGAATAATAGTAACATCTGCCAAATATCTGTAGACCAATAGAGATAATATCTTAAAATTTTGTCAAAACAAGAAAATATAATTATGAATAATATAATCATCACTATATCTGCCTTATATCTTAGAACAATAATTATATTTGTTTAATATCTGTAGGTTAATAGAGTAATATCTTAAAATTTTGTTTAAAAATAAAATATATAATTATGAATAATATAATCATCACTATATCTGTCTAATATCTTTAGAACAATAGTTATATCTGTCTAATATCTGTAGGCCAATAGAGATAATATCTTAAAATTTTGTCAAAACAAGCAAATATAATTATGAATATTTTAATTATTACAATATCTGCTATATATCTTTGAACGATAGTTTTATTTGCTAATATTAGAAAACTAATAAAGTGATATCTTAAAATTTTGTCTAAAATTAGAAATATATGATTATAAATAATATAATCATCACCATATCTGCCTAATATTTTAGAATGATAGTTATCTGTCAAATATCTGTAGGCCGATAGAAATAATATTTTAAAATTTTGTCAAAATAAAATTATATAATTATGAATAATATAATCATTACTATATCTGTCTAATATCTTTAAAATGATAGTTATATATATCTAATATCTGTAGGCTAATAAAATAATATCTTAAAATTTTATCTAAAAATAAAAATATATGATTATAAATAATATAATTAACACTATATCTGCTTAATATCTTTAGAATGATAGTTATATCTGTCAAATATCTGTAGACCGATAGAGATAATACTTTAAAATTTTGTTAAAATAAAAATATACGTTTATGAATAATATAGTCATTATCATATCTGCCTAATATCTTTAGAATAATAGTTATATCTGTCAAATATCTGTAGGCCAATAGAGATAATATTTTAAAACTTTGTCTAAAAATAAAAATATACGATTATGAATAATATAATCATCACTATATCTTTAGAATGATAGTTATATCTGTTTAATATCTATAAGGGGAATGCCATTTATCAGGTGATTAGGGTTTACTAAGCAGATTACCCCCTACCCACCTGACAATAAATCTAGAATTTTGATTACAGACATACCTCTATATAATCACACTTTTGGGCGGGCTCAAAATCATGATTATACAGAGGTGTGATTATAATAGTTATACCTCTTTATAATCACATCTTTAAACCAAAATTAAAATCATAATTATATAAAGGTATAATAAAAAAAGTACTTTTATTAAAACACATCTATAGTGTTTTATTCTCTATATTGTATTATATTAAAAACTGGCTAATTTAATTAATATGCGATACTCTAAGTAAAAATCTACATTCCCAAAAACCCTTTCAAAACCTTAATTCTACACTAACCACTAATCCCAACATAAAAATTTGTGCTAAAATTTTTATATACAAACAAAATAAAAAACTTAGAAAAATATATAAACTATATAATAGGTGTGTAATATAATAAAAAATTGATTCTGATATCCCTTTTTCCCAACAAAACATATTTCTGACAGTATATTTACTAATAGTCTTCAGAGCTGTTTACGGCTTATTCTACCATAATTATTGAAGCCACGACTTGTATTATGGCTAGAGAATGGCTCAAGTTGTGGTAAATAATATCGATAAGCTTTGCATTAAATATTATTACGTTGCTACAGTAATAATAATTTTAAAGCAATATAGTATTTAAAGAAGCCATACAAGTGTAACAGCTCTAAAAATCTTTAATGAATTGAAATTGGTCACAAAATTCTTTATCATATAATGTTAGGTTTCACATGATATTTCAATTAAGTATTTTCTTATTTTATCAGTTAAACATTATCAATTAATATACGTATTAATTAGTTTCCCATTTCAAATTTTATTTATATGATTTAAAGTTCTTTCAAGCATATAAATTATAGGTCAGAACTGAATTTTTAATTGGTGGAAAGAGTTTAACCGGTAATAGGTTCATTATCACGATAAAAAAGTTTGAAGCTATCTTTTTTTGACATAGACTTCAGCAAAATAACAGTAATGATTACCTCAATTACTTATGAGTGATCTCGATAGCTATTTAATCACATTGAGGGCTCTTAGTCTAAGTTAGCAATTATTCACTGGTCTAATTGGTCTAAGTATTAGTATGAGCTGATCACTTCTTATCCACATTACACAGGTTGAATCAACGAATATCGAGTGTATATCGGAAGACAAGTTTCCTGATATGTACCCGTTAATTTGCTATAGATATGCCAAATACTTGCTGAATACGTATCAGCATTTTGGCAGCATATAAAGATATCAGGAGGTGGATCGATATTATCAACATAATAGTAAAATATTGAGATATCCTAATATCTCCGGAGTGTTAAGAGTAAAATATCTGGGTATCCCAATATTGTGCTGTTATGTTACTGATATCGATCTACTTCCCGATATCTTACTAATATTCTTTCAGTACTTCCAATATACTGCGGATCTATGGCAGACTATCAGGTACATATCGGGAAACTTGTCTCTCAGCATGCGCCCAAAATTCATTGGTTTAACTTGTGTTAGCCCATATAATTATCATCTGCCAAGTCATTTCCAAATTATGCAGATTATTATGAATGGATCTGTACATACGGTATAGAGTGTAAAATTTCCTATTTTTATTATCTGTTCCGGCGGCGTTATGTATTATTAAAGTTAGCATTGGAAAATTGTAGCGAATTGTTATAATATGTTTTTTAAAGAGGTATTTCACACTCTGTATAAATCTAAAATTTTAATAAAATTTTTTGTTTGTCTAAATTTTAGTGTCCCATATCAATATAGTTATACTTTATTTAGTTTTATGCCCAACATTTATTTATTTGAATTCAAAACTATAACTAATATAACTATTTTATATTGGTGTTGTCGCCCATTCCTGGTTTAGCGTAACAATTTTGCGCAGCTACTTTTTAATATTTATTTATTTATAATAAAATTTAATTAAATACAATAAATAAATAATATTATAATACATATAAAATAGATATTTTATTTAAAATATAAAATTATTAAAGTTGAAAATAATCAGTAATTGAGCTTTGTTTTTTTGAATCTGACAACATTTTACTCATAATTTTGCTATATTTTTTTAAAATTTTGGTATCTTTCATATCAAAATCCGAGGACTGCTGTTGTTCAAAAAAAGATAACCAAGTTTTTAAAGCATTATATGCTTCATGTACAGATACTTCAGGTGGTTCATTAACCGAATCTTCTGGGTCATCTTCAACATTATTATATTCTTCATCTTGAACAAGAGTGATTATTTGCTGATCTGTTAATGCTTCTTCGGTTGCAATAATTTGATCAATATCATTAAAATAATTAACTATTGCAGAAGTAAGTGTGGCGGCATAGTCATCCTTTATAGGTAACTCATCTAGAAGTGCATTAAGATTATTATTGTCAAGAAATTTTGCTTCTTCCTGAAATTCAGTAGCGTAAGTCATTTCTTCTTCTTCAGCAGCAGGAAGAATTCCTGTCTTTTTCCAACAATTAATAATTATATCCTCATCAACTGAATACCATGTGTCCGAAAGATAATCAATAGCCTGTTTAATATTTAATTTATTTCTTAAAAAGAAAGAAAAAATTAGTAATACTCCGAATAGTTTTAGTTTGGTCGAATAATATTTAAAACCTACAAATAATATTAAATACATTTAATATTATACTTTTATTTAAAAAACTTTCAAGATAAATTGCAAATTAGATACCATTAGTAAGCAGATTTTTGGTAACGTATAAATGCCTTATGTTCATTATTTCAACTTCATTTTTATGCTGATACATAACAAACACCAAGATTATATGTTCTGACCCATCTTACAAAATTTTGATAATGGATAAACATTTTATATTCGTCTTCAATATTATTGCCACATTAATAATATCTACTAAAAATCAACTTTTTAAAGCATATATAGTAAATAAATTATCTTAAAACACTACTAATCTCATAATCTTAGTAAATTTTTTGATCAGTTTTCTAAATGCTAAATTAAAATATAGTAGATAAGTAATTGAACTCTTTTTTTTTTAAAAAAAAAAGAAACACTTACCATTAATTCTTATTTGCTTTAGTTTAGCTAGCTTTATTAAAGTAATATTAAAATAAATAATAAATACGTAAGTATAAAGTTTATTTATTATTTTTTTGAATACTATTATTGATTAATAAAATTTAGTTATTAATAAAACTAAGTATTGAGAACTCTTTCTAACGATCACTTGGACCGAAATTCCTACTAATGAAAAATAGAAAAATTTGTTGGAGAGTCGTGGTCTACTGGCAATTTGTCTAGAGGTCAACCTACTACTACGGGGACTCCTCTACAAGGGACGTTTGGCATGCAAGCCAAGAGTGTTATTATACAAGATAACTGCTCTTGTATAAAAAATCTTGGTGGCGGGTGGTTCAGAAACGAGCTGACATCGTCAACAAAGCTTTTAGGTTGTTACTTTGAAGAAGAACACTGGGGAAACAACAAATTATCTGTTGCTCTGAAGCTGTACTCTTTTTTCTTGTCTCAAGTGACTCTTCTACTACTTATTTTTGACTTCCTGCCATTCTTTCAAAAAATTTCGACAAAAAGTGGGATTTGGCTTACTCCTCCAAAAGATCAGCATTGTTTATATCCAAATTCAGACAGACTCGGTATGATTACAACCGACGTGTCTTATTTACTTAGAAGATACAGCGCTACTCCATGTGACTTTGATCGGGGTCTCAGGTTAAAGAGATATCAGAATTTGGCTGTTAGTCGAAGGGTATACATTAGGGTTTTGTTTTCATAATTAAGATATACAATAGTTGTAGTTGTTATAAAATTTTTATTGTAACTTGGCACAGGTTATAACAGTGTATTTGTCTTGTTCATAGCAACCTTTGGGTTGCTTGGCTGCTTCTTGATAGAGGTAGCATCTACTTTGTCAGCCTTTTTGGCTTTTAACTTTGTTTTTTCTTTTTTAACGTGTTCTTTTCCTCTTTTTTTTTCCTTTAAAATTTTCCTTTCGTTTAATTTGTTTTGTTATTAGATATAGTTTTTGTTTTGTTTCATGATTGGTGGTTTTGTAGCAATAGTATAAAATCACTACTTTCTTTTGCTCTCGGTAAAAAAAGAAAAATTGATAGGATTAGCTCTCGACGGGCTGACAAGGTCTATCCAACTTGTATACAAGATGGTGCGATGAGTCGCTCATAGGCACGGTTTCCGCAGCCAGAAGATGTCTAGCTTGCAATTTTTAAGGCTTAGTTTAGTTGGAATAGTTTACCATTGTTGATTAAATAAATAAAGTTTTTGTATTCAAGCTTTGAAAAGACCATCAAAGTGTTAAAAAAAAAAAAAAAAAAAAAAACTAAGTATTGATTAAAGATACTTTTAAGTATTTTTTTTAGTATAGATAGCTAGCTAGTTATAAGGATCATACTCATATACTATATTGTAGCTCTTATAGTAAAAGATTAATATTACACAACTCTAATAAAAAAAATAGGCAGTGATATTTTTTTAATTGCTTATTTTACGAATCAAAAATTAAGTTTAGGCCTATTACTATGTAGATATTTAAAAGAACTTTTCTAAATAAATAATTCAACTATAGCTTAAACTATTCGGAGTGCTATTGTGTAAATTAATTAAAAATATAACGATTCAAAAAAAATCTTACTCATTAATATTCTCTCTGGCTTCATACTGCATTAAAATATGATGACAATAAAGAGCTTTATATTTGTTTTTAAAGCTCTTAATAATGCCCGCGTCCATTGGGATATTGTATTTGGGAGTAAAAATACAATTTTAATATTAGTTAAATTTAATAAACTTTGATAATTTCGTTTCTTCTTTTTTTTTTGTTTATTATCTGATTTACGTTTTTTTGAAATACTTTAGAGGATGAACCAACAATATTGCTTAATTCAGCTTCATCTTCAGAATCCGAATTAGCTTTATCTTGATCAGTAGGTTCTTCATTTGGATCAAAGTGAAAAGCAGCATTATCAAGTAGTAAAAGAATTTTTTTATCTTTAACTCAGAAATAATAATCTAATTCTTTAAGCCATTCTTCAAATATATTAGTACGCATCCAAGCTGTTTTATTTGCATGGTATTCAACAGGAAGAGAATTTATATTGATACATTTAAAGCATCGTGGCCGTGGTGATTTTCCAATTACCCATAGTTTAAGTTGATATGTTTCTGTAGCATTAGTACCAAGTAAAACAGTAATTCTTGTTTTATCCTAAAAGTAATTTATAGTTAAATAAATTATTATTTAATATATATATATATAAATACCTTTTTTTGACCATGCATTCGAGCAGTTGACAATGTTTGGTTTGGTGGCATATGATAAAATAATGCAGTTTCATCTGCATTATAGATTTGATCAAGTGTATATTGACTAAAAAGATTGCGCAATCTTAGTCTTTCTTCATACAACATTTCTAAAGGGGCACCTTCTGCCTCTCCATGTAAACGATAAACACGAAGATTATTATGATGTTTAAATTTTTCAATCCATCTATTTGATAATTTAAGCTTAGATTCTTCTATATTAAGAGCTTGTATAAACAATC